TGGGCGCGGGGCAGATGCACCCACCCCGGCACCACCACGGCCCCTCTGGGACCCCCGTGCAGGGACCCAGCACTCACCAACCCCCTGAAGAAGGTGAACGCGGCGGTGAGGAGCAGGAGCAGGACCAGCCCCATGTCCTGGGGCCGCTGGTACAGGTGCTTGCGTTGCTCCTCTGCAACCTGGGAGAGGGAAAACGCCGTATTTTTGGCTCCGCGCCCTGTGGTCCAGCCCCGGGGTGAGGCTGACGGCTCCCGGTGCAGCTCCCGCAGACCCCCTGCCCCCCGGCTCCCAGCTCACCTTCTCGGGGCTGAGGCATGGCAGGGCCTTGGGCTGCTGGAAGAGCCTCACCCCAGCCCCGATGGGGATGAGGAGGTAGGGCAGGTTGAGGAGGAAGGCAGGGCTGAGGTCGGAGCTGTATTTCCCTGGGGAAGGAGAGCACGTGGGAGGCACGGCGGAGCGCTCAGCACCCGGTATCGATACCTGCCGCTTGCCCCCAGGTCAGCACCTTCCTCCTTTGCCCACGGGGCGAGTGCCTGGGAGCAAACCGGCCGGACAGACGGGGGGATGGAGGCAGCCTGGAGGGATCAGCAAGGGCTGGACGTGGAGCTGAGCCCCCCTCCGCACCCCCGTACCTATCAAGTTCCCAAGCAGGAAGACAACGATGCTCATCATCAGAGAGCCCAGCCAGAAGAGACCCAGGTTCCTGTAGCTCTTCCTGCAGAGACAGCTGGGATCAGACCCCCCTGCCAGGCTCACAGCTCCCCTCCTCACCACATTTGGGACCCTCGCCTCCCGCCACCGTCCCCGCTCACCTCTGGCCGATGGCCTTTGGGCCCCGCGCCCCCCGCCGCCGCCCCCGCTCACCTCTGGCCGATGGCCGCGATCATGGCGAGGTAGAGCCCGTAGTGGACGATGCCGTCCCAGTAACAGATCATGATGCCGTGCGCCGTGCGCAGGTAGGGCTCGCCCTGCCCGTTCGGAAGAGAGGGGATCGTATGGGATGGGGGCAGGCGTCTTCCCACCCCCGCTCCCCAGGGAACCCCGTGGGAGCTGGGGCTGCTCCGTGCATGGTCCCTCTGCGGCAGGAGCAGCTTCGGGAGCAGGAGCAGGATCCGTGCTTGACCCGGGTGCACGGGGCTGCTCGTTGCACGGCCGGGGTGTGCCAGAGCCCGAGGGGGGGTGAGGTGGTACCTCTCTGACGTAGACCTCCATGAAGCCAGAGATGTAGCCATCCTCCTCCAGCGAGATGAGCAAGTCGACGACGGAGGTGAAGGAGAACACCACAAACCCTGCGGGAGAGCGAGCCACCTCGGAGCGGGTCCCACGGCTCTCCCCAA